ACTTGGGTTGTTTCCAAGATCTGGAGATTACAAATTGTGCTGCTATAAACATAGGTGCACATATATCCCTGTGGTATGATGCTTTCAGTTCTTCTGGGAATATGCCTAGAAGTGGAATAGCTGGAATAAATGGGATTTCCAATCCCAACTTTTTGAGAAACCTCCAGACAGACCTCCACAAAGGCTGTACCAGTCTACACTCCCACCAACAGTGCAGGAGAGTTCCTTTTTCCCCACATCCTCTCCAGCATTTGTTGTTGTTGGTTTTCTTGATCCTGGCCATTCTTTCAGGAGTGAGATGGTATCTCAGTGTGGTTTTAATTTGCATTTCTCTAATGACCAATGATGATGAGCATTTTTTCATGTATTTATTTGCCATTTGCATTTCTTCATCTGAGAATTGCGTATTCATCTCAGATGCCCATTTTTGGATTGGATCTTTGAATTTTGGAGATCTGAGTTTTTTTAATTCTTTATATGTTTTAGACAAGAGTCCCTTGTCTGAGAGAGAGTTCACTAAAATCTTTTCCCAGTTTGTGGGTTTTCTTTTCACTATGCTGGAGATTTCTTTTGACATGCAAAAACTTTTTAATAAGAAGTGGTCCCAGTTATTGATTCTGGGAAGTATTTCCCGTGCAGTTTGAGTCCTATTCATGAATTCTCTACCTACTCCTATGTCTCCAAGGTTTCTACCCAATTTTTCTTCCAATAGATTTAGCGTTTCTGTTTTAATATTCAGATCTTTGACCCATTTAGATTTTAATTTAGTACATGGTGATAGACATGGGTCTAGCTTTAGTTTTCGGCAAATGGAGAGCCAGTTTTTCCAGCACCATTTATTAAAGAGACTGTCATTCTTCCAGTGAACCTGCTTGGCTCCTTTATCAAAGATAAGGTGGTTGAGTGTGTTTGTAGTTGTGGTTGTATCTTCTAATCTATTCCATTGATCTTCAGCTCTGTTTTGATTCCAATACCATGTTGATTTTACTACTGTTGCTTTGTAGTATAACTTCAAGTCAGGGATTGTGATGCCTCCTGCTTTGTCTTTGCTGCTTAGAATTGCTTTTGCGATTCTAGGTCTCTTCTGGTTCCAGATGAAATTTAGGAGTGATTTCTCTAGATCTATAAGGTATGTTGATGGTATTTCTATTGGGATTGCATTGAATCTGTATAAGAGTTTTGGGAGAATGGCCATCTTCACAATGTTTGTTCTTCCTATCCATGAGCAAGGGATGTCTTTCCATTTTCTGAGATCATCTTCAATTTCCTTTTTCAGTGTATTATAGTTTTCACTGTATAAGTCTTTCACTTCTTTCGTAAGAGTAATTCCTAAATATTTCATTTTTTTTTTGCTTGCTAATGTGAATAGTCCAGTTTCCCTTATTTCCCTCTCTGTGGTTTTGTTGTTTGTGTATAGGAATGCTATTGATTTCTGAGTATTGATTTTGTATCCAGCCACATTACTGAATTTATTTATTGTATCTAAGAGTCTTTCAATGGAGCTTAGGGGGTCTTCTATGTAGAGTATCATGTCATCTGCAAACAATGACAACTTAACTTCTTCTTTTCCTATCTTTACCCCTTTTATTTCTCTTTCTTGCCTAATTGCTCTGGCTAGTACTTCCAGTACTATATTAAATAGGAGTGGTGATAAAGGACATCCTTGTCTTGTGCCTGATTTTAAGGTAAAGGCTTTCAATTTTTGGCCATTTAGTATGATGCTGGCTGTTGGTTTGTCATAAATGGCCTTTATTATATTGAGGTAAAGACCATCTATTCCAATTTTCTGTAGAGTTTTTATCATGAATAAATGTTGGACCTTATCGAAGGCTTTTTCTGCATCTATAGAAATGATCATGTGATTCTTATTTTTGGCTTTATTGATATGGTGGATTACATTTATTGATTTGCGTATGTTGAACCATCCTTGCATTCCTGGGATGAATCCCACTTGGTCATGGTGTATAATCTTCTTGATGATTTGCTGGATCCTATTTGCCAATATTTTATTGAGGATTTTTGCATCTGTGTTCATTAGGGAGATCGGTCTATAGTTCTCTTTTTTAGTTGGGTCTTTCTCAGGTTTTGGTACTAGAGTGATATTTGCTTCCAGGAATGACTTAGGAAGGATTGCTTCCCTTTCAATTTCATTGAATATTTTGAGGAGTGTCGAGATTAGGTCTTCTTTGTATTTCTTGTAGAATTCTGCAGAGAATCCATCTGGGCCTGGGCTCTTCTTGGTGGGTAAGGACTTAATTACATTTTCAATTTCAGTAACCGAGATTGGGTTATTCAACAATTTTACATCCTCTTGATCTAGCTTTGGCACTTCATATGCTTCTAAGAAACTGTCTATTTCTTCTGTGTTATCAAACTTTTGAGAGTAGAGGTTTTCGAAATAGGTGTTGATGATCTTCTGTATTTCTATTGGGTCTGTAGTGACTTCTCCTTTTTCATTTCTTATTGCATGAATTTGAGCTTTTTCTTCCCTTTTTTTAATAAGGTTGGCTAGGGGCTTATCGATTTTATTTATTCTTTCAAAGAACCAACTCTTTGATTTGTTGATCCTTTGGATTGTTTTCTTATTCTCTATTGCATTGATTTCTGCTCTGATTTTTATAATTTCCTCTCTTCTTTTGGCTTTGGGCTTGACTTGCTCTTCTTTTTCTAGCTGTTTGAGGTGTAGCATCAAGTTATTTATTTGTATTCGTTCTGTTTTCCTGATGTGGGAACTCAGTGCAATAAATTTTCCTCTCAGGACGGCTTTCATTGCATCCCACAGATTCCGGTAAGTTGTATCTGCATTTTCATTTTCTTTTAGGTATTGTTTGATTTCTTCTTTAATTTCTTCTGTGACCCACTGATTACTCAAGAGTGTGTTATTCAGTTTCCATGTGTTTGTGGGATTTTTGCAGTATCTTTTATCGTTAATTTCTAATTTCAGAGCGCTGTGATCCGATAACATGCAAGGGATGATTTCAGCTCTTTTGCACTTGTTTAAATATGTTCTATGAGCTAATATATGGTCTATTTTAGAAAATGATCCATGTACTGCTGAGAAGAATGTGTATTCTGATGTTGTTGGGTGGAACATTCTGTATATGTCTATCAAACCCAATTGTTCACAGGTATGATTCAGTTCTGTTATTTCTTTACTCATTTTCTGTCTGGTCGATCTGTCCCTTGGTGTCAATGGCGTATTAAGGTCTCCTGTTACAATTGTGTTACTGATAATTTGAGTTTTCATTTCTGTTAATAATTGTTTTATATAACTGGGCGCTCTGGAGTTTGGTGCGTATATATTTAAGATAGTTATCTCTTCCTCTTGGAGTTTTCCCCTTACGAGTATGTAGTGACCTTCTTTATCCTTTATGGTCATTGTTGGTTTAAAGTTCACGTTGTCTGCAAACAGAATGGCTACTCCTGCCTTTTTTTGGATTCCTGCTGCATGAAGAATTGTTTTCCATCCTTTGACTTTCAGTCTGTGAGCATCCTTCTGGGTTAGATGGGTTTCCTGTAAACAGCATATGGTTGGATTTTGTTCCTTGATCCATTCTGCTAGTCTGTTTCTTTTGATTGGTGCATTGAGACCATTTACATTAATGGTTATTACTGTTAAATGTTGGTTAATTGTAGGATTCTTATCTCTCTGCTGTTGCATCTTTATCTTTCTGTTCTGTTTAATTATTTGCTTTGCTTAGTGGTTTTTTCCTTTGTGTATCTAAACTGTCTTTCAATATTTTTTGCAGGGTTGGTTTGGTGTTCATGAAGTTCTTCAGCTGTTCTTTGTCATGGAAGTATCGTATTGCACCATCTATTTTAAATGATAGTTTTTCAGGGTATATCAGTCTAGGTTGGAAATCATTTTGCTTTAGGATCTGGAATACTTCACTCCATGCTCTTCTTGACTTTATTGTTTGTGATGAGAAGTCTGCTGTGATTCTGATAGGTTTTCCTTTATAAGTTTTCCTTTATAAGTCTGTCTTTTCTCTCTGACAGCTTTTAATAATCTATATTTGTGTTGGATTTCTGGGATGGTGATTATTATATGTCTGGGTGTAGTTTTATTTTGGTTATGACTATTTGGAGTTCTATATGCTTCACTGATCCTGATGTCAGTTTCTGATCTCATGCTTGGGAAGTTTTCAGCTATTGCTTCTCTAAATAACCTCTTGATATCCTTTATGTTGTCTCCTTCTTTTTCATTAATCCCTATCATTCTTATGTTATTTTTCTTTGCATCATCTTGCAGTTGTTGAATTGTTGTTTCCTGATTCCTTGTTATTTTTAAAAGATCTTTCCTTCCTTGTTCACTAGCTGCAATCCTGTCTTCAAGGTCTGAAATTCTATCTTCACTTTCATTAAGGCGGTTTTTACAACTTTCAGTGGAGTTTTTTATTTCCTGTATATCTCTGTGCATCTGCATTATGTATTCTGTTTGTTTCTTATATTGCTCATCTAGGGATTCTATCTTTTTGTTTAGTTCCTCCAATTTTTTATCTGTGTTTTCTTTAGATATATTTAGAATCTCTTTCATTTCTTTTATCATTTCTTCTTTTATCTGGGATATTATTTCGAGTTTGAATTTCTTTAAAGCTTCCTGGAGTTGCTTGTCAACTTCAGTAGCTATTGTGTCTGATATATGAGGAGGATGGGATATATTTTTTTCTAAATACATTTCTCCTAGGGTTTCCTGAGATGGGCTGGAGGTTTGAGGTTGTAATTTTGTCTTTAATTTTGTAATTTTCCTATATTTTTGTGTTTCAAGTGTTATTTGAAAGCCTCCTCAGGATCTGTTGAAAATCCCCTTCTATGTTTGCAGCTACTGAGACTCTGGCACCACTCTACCCCAGGCCATTGGGCCTGCAGAACCAATGGCCCTCCTCTGCTTGTTCAGAACTCCGTGGTTCCAGACAAGCTGGGCCTCAGGGACACTGTGTGCCCACCTGCCCCTTGGTAGATCCACAGCTCTTGGATCGCAGCCGGGTTAGGGTACTCACCATAGACCGCAGTGCCTCAGGAGCCTGTGATGCCTCCCTGATTGCAGAGATATCCACAGTCCTCCAGACAAAGGAAGGGCCTCCTGCGGGCACTCCGGATCCACCCAGCTCCTCCTCTGCACGCAGATGGCTATGCGCGGTTGGGCACAGGCCGAGGTGCCTCAGGAACCTGGGATCCCTCCTCCTCCAGACAAAGGAAGGGGCTCCTGCAGGCGCTCCGGATCCGCGCAGCTCCTCCTCTGCACACCGATGGCTAGGCGCGGCTGGGCACAGGCCGAGGTGCCTCAGGAACCCGGGATCCCTCCTCCTCCAGACAAAGGAAGGGGCTTCTGCAGGCGCTCCGGATCCGCGCAGCTCCTCCTCTGCACACCGATGGCTAGGCGCGGCTGGGCACAGGCGGAGGTGCCTCAGGAACCCATTAGGATTCTTATCTATGTAAAATATCTATATAGTATAGGTGATCACTTAAGAATGGATAAAAATCTATGTAAGAAGAAAAAAAGGAAGGAAAAAAGGAGAAAATGAAAAAGAAAGATGAAAGAGAGGGGAATGGTGAGAGGAAGGAAGGGGAGAGGGAAAGACAGTGAAAATCAGATAAAGGAGAGAGAAAGGTGGAGAAAGGGGGAGGGGACACCGGAAATACTATGTGAGATTCAGGAGCTAATTGTGTTAGATGATCTTTTCATCAGTTATCAAGCTACCTCTTTAGATGACGGACCACTCTACAAGTTATAAGGTCAACCTTAGTAAATGTCCATCAGTGTCCCTGCTACACCATTTCAAGGCAGCTCACTGTCCCTAGCTCATTCTAGACCCCAGAGCTCCAACTACATTCTTGGCATCTCACTCAACAAATCATCCCTGCAGAAATGTATGATCAATACCTGACAGTGATAAATGACATCTTCAAATTCACTCTACCTTCAAGAAGGACAACTACTTAGCTTTGATAAACATGAATCAGAGTCCTAAGCTCATAATTTCCCCCAGACTGTCTTGTTGAACTCCTGAAAGTGATTTGTCTCTGTAATCTGATTTTCAGGATTTGAAAATTGTTTGGATCTCTGTTGCCATTTTCTGAGCCCTCAGTGCAGATGTTTCCCTGATTAACCTAAATCCTTTTAGACAGTAAGCTCTGTTTTGACCTTCTCCTAACTCCTACAAGATGATTCTTACTCCAACCATTAGTGAACTTGCTTGCACTTGACTAGGTAAGTCTATTTTCTGTTCTTATACTCTAAATCTGTTTCTTTCATGTCAAATCCTGATAGTTAACAGAAACAACAAATTCGTCTTCCCTATTAGAATTTCGCTGCTGTCTAATGAAATGACATCTGAATCCACACAGCACCTTCTTCCACTCTGTTCACTTTCCTGTGGTACTGCTATGGGTTAATTTATTGAAGTCACACATCAGTTCTTTTCTTCAGATGTTAAAATAAAAATCTCAAGGTCATTTGGAGGTATGGGCACATTTCCACAGTGATGAGCAAGGGTCCTCATGTGCATTCCTATCTAATTTATCCAACCTTGGTGTTACAGTTTGGGTCTGAAATGCTCCTCAAAGGTTCCTGTGTTGAAGCTTGGTCCCTAGCTGGTGATGCTATTGGGTTCTGGCAGAAAATTTACAACAAAATATGGAGCTGGGGGTAAACCTTTGGAGTGGGTATTGGTACTCAGGCCCATTCTCTGCCTCCGCTTCCTGGATGCCAAGAGTTAAACAGTTTTGTGCATTTCTCCCTGTCTTGGCTCAGTGTAGGTCCAAAGTGATACTGAGAAAGTTAATGAGAGGATAGGGATAGGTGAATAAAGTTAAATTACAAACTCATGCAATGCAAAATCATGTGTATCCATAGCTTATATAATATAAATCTTTATACTCTTCAAGGTACTTTCACAAAAAAAGTTCAGTAAAATTTCTATCCCCACTCATTGATCCAATAAATCTCCACAGCCTGACCTTGAGGGAAAATATCATGAACCTGAGCCCTTCCTGCCAAACTCCATCATCTGTATTCAGGCCTGTATGGATGTTTTCTCTTCCAGGTTTGCTTCCTCACAAGAAGTGCAGGTGATCACCATTTATTTATCATTATTTCCAAAGCAGTCTGGAAGATTAGAAGAGATGAGAATTGATTAATGTTCTTCATGAAAAGTTCAATAACTGTTTAATCACAGCTTGGAAATAAAGCAATGCATCTGATCTTTTACAAATTAATTTAATGTTGCATTAAAAATAAAATAGACCATAAATTGTGCTGTGCAGGGATAATCAATGGCTCATTATCCTTGCTTCAAGCAAAATGCACTGATTCTTTAAAAGTCATTAATGAGTTATATTGGGCAGTACATAGCCGCAAATGTGTTCAAGTATTATTGATCCTACGTCTATAAAACTAATCTCATCAGGGCACAATTTATGAGTGGTAATAATGCAAACTGTTCCACAGTCCATATTAAAGAAATAAAAAAAATTTCATGTCCATAAGGCAAGATTATAAGATCACTAGGGAGGAACAACTTTCGAGTCCTTTTCCATTGTGCTGCTAGCACAATGTGGCACTTAATCACTGCTCAATATAAATCTAATAAAAGAATTATCAGTAGTGACCAATGAGGTGTTAACAAGCTTCTTATGTAACTAAACCACTATGATAATTCTGTAATTTGAATTGATGTGAACACTTTCCTTAGACATTAATAGAATATTACACACAAATCATCTACAAAGTTACTTCTATATTAGCTAAAATTTTATGACACAATGTTCACAAATATTTCACTACTAAAACAGAAAAATTTGAGGTGATAGATTATTTTCATTATTCATCTTTGTAAAATATATGTTTTGTCCATGTGTTCCACTGCCTATTTTGTATGTCTGCCTTAGATGTCTGTTAAACCCCTCAAGTCTAACATATGAAAAAATCTTGGTGTAATTGCTAAGAAATTGGTATAGTTGCTGAATCTTAGGATCCACTTTATCCTAAATGTCAGAGGGCAAGGAAAGGATGAGCTGCCCTTGTAACTTCCGTAGAAGGAGAATGGAGAATTCTTTACAGAGAAAAGAAGACTGAAATGGATAACTAACCAGTATAACATGTATCAGTGAGATTCTTATGCTTTGTTTTATTTTAATTGCTACAAAGCAGAAGTAAAGCTAAATTAATTTTAGGTAAGAGTAAGGACTACCTTAATACCTACCTCATAGAATGAAACTGTCATCACTAAAAATGTGTTAAAACAAAGAGGTTACATGTGACCAAAAGCTAACAGACAAATATTCCTGTATTGATGTGAAACTTTTTATGTTTATAGAGATAAATTCTGAAATGTCAGATTTAATATTTTCCTTTACTGGCCTATTCTTTCTCCAAGCAGCAATGGTAACAAATAACACCTTAGAATATATATGCTGAACTTTCTAAAATTCAATTTCTTATGAAAAATTCATTTAAAAATTTTAAACTAGTCATATTGTATTTTGCAGGTTTTAAGATTGCCCTTGGTACTGAGTGGCACTTCACTGACCTGAGAATTCACATGGGAAAAGCAGAATTTGCTCTCTCCTCTCAACTCTTCAAGGCCTCAATAAAATTTACATCCAAAGAGATGACACATTTCCAGCCAGTTTCCTTTTACAGCATTTAATTTTAAAAGAATCTTTTTACCTATTTATAAGAACATAGTTTTATAATACAATAAGTAAACACTCACTGCTTAGAATTTCCAAAAAATATTGTTGCACTTGTTTTGTTAAACTTCCAGTGTTTCAGAGCTAGGCTTTGTCAACAACTCTTACATTTGGCAAGTCGAAGTCATAAAACACCTACATTTCTCAGGTTGCTACAAAAAAGGAGACAAATTCAGAAGCAGGGGTAAAGCCAAGAGAAGGACAAGTGCCTGGAAAAGCAGTAAATCCCAACTATACTGAGGGGTGCTCTGGGGAGAAGGGTAGTGATGCCCATATCAGCAGTGCTATCAAGCGGCACACTTTGATATAAGACATCCACAAACTCCTAACACAAAGTCATTTTATCATTTACTGCCTTTCGAGGTTGAATGTCACAGTCTCATGGGTAAGAAAACACACTGATAGAGAGTTTCTGAGTCATGTACACTTGTGATGACTGGCTTAACCATAAGGACTTTTACTGTGTTAGCATAGGCTGGTTTAATGTAAATAAACCAAATCCTATAGCAGGGGATTACACTGAGTAACCATTTTGAATCACAATACATCTACAACATTTGCTCTCAAATATTTATATGGACAAAAATTACTTATGAATCTTGTTTTCAAAACACAAGTATTTATGAAAAAATACTCAACATGACATAATGCAAATCAAAATCCCAGTGAGCTATTTATTAAGGCTCATAGCATATCTAAAATAAAAAAAGACAGGCAATAAAAATTGTTGTCAGGGAGAAATTGTAGATAAACATGCTGTAATCTTTTGAAAAACAGTATGGAGGGGCCTCACAATATTAAATACATAGTTATATGACAGCAATTTCAGCCCTGATATATACCTATATTAGTTTATTAGAGCTATCATAACAAAATTACATAAAAGCAATTTACCATAGTAAATTACTTAAGTAACAGAAACTTATTCCCCCATTCTGAAAGGTGGAGTCCAAAATCATGGAGCCAACAGAGCTGTTTTGCTCTAAGTCCTCAATCCTTGACTTATAAATGTTGGCTGACTTTTTATATGGTACTCAAACTCTGTGTACTCAAACTTTGTTGTCTCTCTGTATATATTAATATATTCTTTGGTGTGAGGACATCATTCAAATTGGATTAGAGCCCATCTCAATGGTATCATTATCACTATATTATTTCCTTAAAGACCTTGTCTCTAAATGTAGACACAGTTTGAAGTAACAGAGCTTCAAAATAGTCATGGGGGAGGCCATAATCCCAAGATAATGGAGAACTTACAGATACATAAAATCTATACATGAACATTCGAAGTAGCATTATTCATAACCAAAAGTGAAAGCAACCCAAAAGTCTAACAGCTAACAAAAGGAGAAGGAAAATATGTTATCTCCAAAGAGTGAATTGTTATTGGTCATAAAAAAGAATGACCGACTGATTTATAAGAGATGCACCTTAAAATTATTATGTCAAGTAAAAGAAACCACTTTATATTATTTAATTTGTACAACATACACAGGTATGGAAAATCCATAGGGAATATGTGAGTATTTTTGGAGATCTGGATGACTGCTGCTGGCTTCAGGTTTCATTTTAAGGGTAATGAAAATGTTCTAAAACTAGTTATTGATAATGGTTGCACAACTTTGTGAATATGCTGAAAATCATTACACCACGTATTTAAAGGGGTAAATTTCCATTGGGTAGAATTACATCTTAATAAATTAATTGTTTAAATTAAAAACTACACATAGATTATGGGTCCCCATTTCAGAGATTCTGATTCAAAATCTAAGAGAAGAATTAAAAACACTTATTTTAAACAAATGTTTCCCCAACCTCAAAAAAAAAAAAAGGGTCTTGGATTCTGAAGAACAGTCAGCTAAAAATTGGTGACATGGACTTCAAGAGGCTATTCTAAGGGACAGGAAACTTCTTAAGAAACAGACACTAGAAATCCTACACTCTGTTGTTTGCAGTAATAGTTGTCTTTGCATCAGAAAAGGGGATCACCCTGGGCCAGAAAAGGGCTGAGGAAAGGAAGAAGCTACAGCATTCATAATGACACAGAAGGCCTTTGGGGCCCTAGATTTCTTAGGAAGATAGAATTATAATTCAAAACCAACCTATTCATGTGTTCATTCACTAAGAACTCATGTACAAAAATAAATATCCATGATCTAAATAGATTGTTTTGCACTGGGGAAGAGTGTATAGCCTTAATCTCTTGGCTTTAACTGATATAATTGGACATAAAATAAAAATGACCACAGTCAAGGAACAATAGAAAAGTTATTACATTAGAGTAGAAAAATGGCCCTCCTTTTTATCAGGTAGTATTGGATTCATTTTCAGGGAATATTTGTAAGTACATAATACCAAGATCAGTTAGGAGAAGCCAGTCTCCATGTCATGAATAACATGAAGTAGAGATTCTTGTTGTCAGAAACTGGGACATCTTGCTAACAGCCATCTTGCAAGCATATGTTTTAGCCCCAGACAATCTCTCAGATAGCTGTAGCACTAGCCAACAATCTGACCAATGTAGAAACAGAATTATCCAAATAAATAGTACTTGGATCCTTGACTCTTAGAAATTATAGTCTCTGAATTATAAATAATCAAGTTGAAAACTTTCACAAGCATGATGTATAATAATCACAGGTATACTGTGTAAGACTCACTTTGTTGGATTATGGAAGAATTTGATTTCTCAATGAATTTTGATTTATTCTCCAGGAATGCAACTCATTCATAAATTGAGGACTTATTGTATGTGAAATAAATGTTTATTATCTTCATATGATGAGTTTTGGGGTAATTACATTTGTGCTGTAACAAAAAAATGGCCCCTCCAGCCAGCATACTTCAGTTTCTTAGTTGGCTAGGTAATAATACCTGTTCCATTTCCAGTAGCTTCTGTCTCAGAAATAGCAGGTCACTGTGATATATAGCTAGTCACTGTAATGCATACTATATAAAGCAATCCTCAATTGACAAGCCTTTCTGTCTCTGTACTTCCTGTTTGCTTATCTCGTATAAACTCTAGACCACCAGAGATCAGGGCCTATTATTTGGGGAATGATCCCAATCAGTGCCCAGTTACATAAATACATCTAAATTCTGAGTGTCATTTCAGTGTTTCTGTGTGCTGCTGCATCTGGCATGTCAGCTGGGAAGACTGATCGTCCTGACTTCTTTGGTCACTGATCATGGTCGTCACAAATAGAATGAATACCTCTTCAAGTCCCAATGGGAAGGTGCACCCTCAAGATTTGTTGAGTCACCCCAGAGATCTGAGGAGGATTCCTGGTTTCCTGCTAGAGTGGCTCACATCAGACCCCAAAGAGAGGAGGATGCAATGTGTCTGTCTGTCTATCTGCCTGCCTGCCTATCTTCCTGATTCCAGTAATACCTGAAGGTGCACCCCAGTTATTCTGTCCATCAGCTCTGATCAACTGGAGGAGAAGGAGAGATTGATCACCTCTTATCAGTAAGGGCCATCCTTGACAGAAGAGGGGTGGAATATTTTAACCTTGGAGTGCCTGGTGGATGAATGTGTGAGTAAATGAAATGGAGAGTGTAAGCAACAGGCTGCCCCATCGGTGCACCAAGACTGGGAAGTGCTGGTCAAAGTGACCGATTGGGCCTCAGCTGAGGTTCCTGTGGCAATCAACATATGGCATAATGAGCCCTCACATCCTCCTTAGCTAAGTCATGCCAAAATCCCCACAAAGGGCATGGCCAGGCAGGCATCTGAATGGTCTCTCTCTGAGGGATACCTACCCTTTGTCTGTTGCATCATAGTTGAAGAACATACAATACACACATAGAAAGTCAGAGATGGGAACTAATTAGACAAAACCCACAGTCCCTAAATGCAGAAGAAAAGGCTTTGACAGAATTAAAAATGAAACCAAACCACATCCTAAATCTCAAAGACAAAGAAATGAAAATGAGGCCCATTTTTCCTGAAAATCCTGCCTTGGCACCCTCATCAGCCGCTGCAGTTGCTGCCAACAGTTTCACCACCCCTCTACCACTTCCAGCTCCTCTATTTCCAGCCAAATGAACTGGTTCCAACTATTCATTGCCTGCATTGGGCTATAGAACTCCCACCCCCAAATCTTATGCTTCATGGCTACACCTACCTGAGCAGATGGTATCAACTACTGCCTACCCAAGACAACTGTCAACAATTTATGCTCAGTCTATTCAACACAAAAGTATCTACACTTTGAGAAAAATTAGACTCTCAGCCCTGACAAATGAGTTGCCATGGATTTTCCCAAGGGTTGCCTCACCTACAAACAACCCAGTGATGTGCTTCTCAAAAACAGGGAACAAAAAGCTCTTGAACCAAAGAAGTTACTCACTAAGCTGACAAAAAAAAGTACCTGATGTCCATAATAAAATCTAGTCTGATGGATGATCCTACCCTATGGCTATCAGTTATAAGGACTATGGAAACTAAAAAATTAATGTTTATTTAGATTAAAAGATAAGAACTCTAAAAGGCTTCAAGCTGGGTCATATTACAACACTTTCATCAGTTTGATGGGCTCAGAACAGGCCAGACTAGGCTTCCTTCTTCAGCTGTGTCAGTGGGAGCTCATATTACCATCTTTGGGTCAACTAGGACTCTTGTCTGTTGGCCCTTTTGCCAGGCACAAACTTGCAGCTGAGAGGACATCTCACGGAACATAAATGCCTGTATAAGCTGGTCCCCATACCACTTCTAGGAAGAGACCTTCTCTTCATGTTAGAAGTGACTATCTCCTTTGCACCAAGATACTCAACCTACCCCTGGTTTAATACTTCACTTTCAACTTTGACTGTTCTCTAAGAGGAAGAAAACATGGGCATCAGTCTGAGACAGCAGCAATTCTGAAGTTCTGAAAATTCTCCTCCCCGAAGTATGAGCCAAGACTCACCTTGTGACTCATCAATCAAGTCATCTCACCACAAACCCCATTGCTGTCAGATGTC